GATATACCCATTAAAGGTATATGTCGTCGTGATCATTGAATTTTAAAGGAATAGTTTGCATTTTGGAAAGAAGAAGAACTAGCAAGCCTTGCTATGACTAAAGGTCATCAAATTCAGCTACCAGCCCTGCTAGAGAACACATCATTCACCAAAGAACAATTGAAACCACTGGCAGGTGTAGGGAACAACGCCGATCAACTTGTTAGGACGCCATGTTCTGCTGGGACACTTTGGGTCCTGCATTCAGGTGGATGGTACCCACCCCATGGCACTTTCAACACTTTCCAAATTCCCATGTCCACACCCTGATAGGTCAGAGTTGTTTTGATGACAAAAGGGGAACCCACACAACGTCAGGCAGGTGCTCTTAATGTTATGCAGAAAAACTAAAGTGTAAGAACACCGAGTTGTGTTTCATGGGGAAGCTTTTTATGAAAGAACTTCAAATCTGAAGAGTGTGTGGGCTGTGCTGCTGCCCCACAGTCAGTCTGTATGTGAAGCTAAGAGGCTGCTGGTTCCAACTTTAAATAGACAGATATGAGAATGTCAACATCATTTAGCGCATATGTTTTGAATATTTCCCTGAAATGTCAAGCTATTCCTTTACTACAAGATATTGTAATGAGCACTAGCAAGATAGTAAGAAAGCAAAAGGCAGGGTGCTTTGGGTTTACCTGAATGGGAAAGCACGGCTCCACATTTTTACACGAATTCGAACAGTCCTTCCCTGTTCGAACTGGAGAGGCGCTGTTCTGAGGGGTCATGGTGATGTCATGGTCAATGTACTGGCCCCAGTGCACCAGCAGCTGAGAATAGGCCTCGTCGTTCGATTTGCAGGCGCTCCTGACGATCTCCCTGCTGAGCGTCCGAGGCTGCAGACAAAGTAGGTTTTCTTAGTTTTCAGTGCTACTTTTGCAGTGTTCAGCTGGCTGTGCGGCTACATGTGTTTCTATTATGTCACCATTAACATATTTTCTGGGGAATGCCTAACTAGTTCACTCTTTAATTCATTAACTCGTGTTATAAATAGATAAATGGCTTAAGCTCAACAATGGGGCTGTGATGTGTTCCAGGAAACATCTCACTTTCTCACAACAACAAAAAAGAAGTTTGGCAACTGATAAAAATGAGTTAAAACATAAAGTATCCGAGATGTTATTTACTCAACCTCTGCTAATAAGAAGTGGAATGGCGAGGATCAAAGATTATTAATTATCTAAAACACTTTAGTAAATTATAGCTCTCCTATATGGAGGTAAATTCTAGGCTGGATACAGTTGATGCATATTTGATGAGTTCTTCCACTAAAGGACCTTACTCTGTGTAATGAGTGCATAAATTAAGCCTGAAATTCAATGCAAGTATCAGCATAACAGTTCATCTGCTGTTTGAAAGAAATAATGTTTATCCACATGACTGGAAACCAGCTCCTTTCAAGCCGTGGGAGTCGTGTGTGTGTGTGTGTGTGTGTGTGTGTGTGTCAAAGCGCAGGCTGCAATATTCAAATGCAGCTGTAATCTGTGTCATCTCTCACACACACTTGTGCTCTTCCTAAATTGCTGCGGACTTTATCAGCTGTAAAACAGGTTAAAAAAATAAATGGGATGCTACATTAACTTGGGTTTTTGCAGGGCGAGCTCGCTTCATTTCTACCGTAATTTCTCCACCGAGACTTTTGTGTCCATCAGCCCAGCATTTTGTAGATTACCAGGGGAAGTTGGAATCCATTATAGAGCCGTTCTCGGTTCCAACCCTTGGGTTCTTTCTCCCCGTCTTCGTATTCAGCTGGAAGCCATCTGACCAAGGCGGTGTTGGCTGCTCCCCAGCGAGGATTTTGCCTGACAAAAAGAATCATGAAGTGTGTCCAAAAATACTGCAGTGCAAAACAGTATACGGCATCATGAATGCAACATCATTTGTTTTCTTCCAAAGGATCCAGAAGAGTTTCCAATAATAATTTTTTCATCATTTGAGAGGTTTGATAAATATCTATTTTCATACTGACTGACAGATCGTAGTCAGATCCTGAACATGTCTATTTGCTGATATCACATGAGCAGGATGCTGCACTGTGACTGATGTGGACTCTTGATCCAGAGTCACACCACTGATCGAGCGTTGCACTCTCGCTATATTGCTGCGGTCACAACTGACAGTTTAAAAAAAAAAAGAGGAAAGGATCACAATCAGTGCAGCAGAACCACAGATATAGACTGTTCCATTCCCTTCCTCCTGCTTCCTTATCGAAGCCTCGTGCACACATTACACACAACGTAGCTTATCAGCTGACAAGCAGCTCCTCAAATGTTAGAATCTGCTGTTTGTCCTTTTCATATTTTCATATATTTTTTAATAGTTTTGATGCTCGGAGATATCGATCACTGCGTCCCTGGGCTTTGAGCAATTGTGAGGGTGTTTCTCCCTGTTTCAGTGAGTCAATTAATCAAGAAAATAATGAGCAGATTAGTCTTTCAAAATGTTGTCTAAATCTCATTACTTTCAGTCTTTGACAAAATAGTTTGAAAATGAGTTCCAACTCAATCAGCTACAGCCGCAAGATGCTGCTTTTATCAGTAATAACAATTTGACTCTCCACTGATTACTTCATTACTTAATATTTTAAGGACTCTGGTATGATGATGTTTACACTCTCGGCTTTCGGTTAAATTTAATGGAACTTCATTGCCATGGTTACAATGGCCCAATGTTTTATCAACCCATCCACCCACCCCGACCACCTCCTTATGCCCATTTTCTGGCTCTCTAACTACATAGCCTGACCTACGGTGGCCGACGGGGGCAAATGACGTGTATATACACAAACGTGCTGCATATATATGAACGCGTTGCATAAACAGAAATGCGCTGCAAAAGAAAAATGCTGCAGATATAGAGGCACTGTGTAAATGAAAACAAATGCAAAAAGAAAGCACTGCATATCCAGTTACATAGAGGAAGTGCCTCAGGCCTCTAGGGGCAGTAGTGAGCTTTTCACCTGAGAGGCAGACAACGGTGAGCGAGACAAGTAATGTTAGTTGAGGGAAAAGCTGTATGAGAAGGTATGTATTCTCTGGTCTCCATGGATAAACATCGATAACAGAGAGAACACAGGGAGACGGTAGTAAAACACCACTTCAGCACCCACAGTGACTGAAAAGTTCATGACCCTCGAGGCCTGTGGCACCTCCATTGTGTGACTGAATATGAAGCATTTTCCTTTTCCAGTGTGTTTCTGTTTATGCAACACATTCATGTACATGCAGCTCTTTTGTGTACATGCCCATCATTTGCCCCAGTCAGCCACCATACCGACCTCCTCCTTTGCCTATTAGTGAGGCCACTAGAGGGCTCCTTCACTTCATCGTGCTGTGTGGCATTTGCTGAAACAACTGAAATGATAAAAAAGTCACTTTAAGTTGTAATAAGCGGTTCACGCTTTGTTTGTGGTGGTGAATGCAAACTAGCACGCAGTATAGGAACTATGGAAGATCAAAAGTGAGAGTTTTAAAATGAAGTTATTCATCAACACATTTCTTTTTCATTTAATTGCAATTTATACCAACTCATAATGCAAACAAAAAAGTTATATTTTCATTTTCACATTTGAAGCATTTGTAGCGTTCCTCTTGTTAGAATAAAGTAGGAATAATTAGGCCCTAACTCTCAAACTCCTACACTAATTAGTCATTAGTGTTTCAATTTGAAACATTTTACAGGATAAACTGATGAAGCAACAACATTTTATATTCAAAGAATCCTCCAGAATCTTTCTGATGGATTCATTATGGGTCCGTACACTCGGTGCTGTGTTTACTGCTCGACATCTCCATAGTGCTGCTTCTCTGACTCATCATCAATCATGAAGCTACCTGTTGTTGCAGACTCCTGTTATGGTGCGGTACTTGCTGAGATGACTGGGCTGACAGCTGACTGGATGTAATGCAGACGGACACTCAGACAGCTCTGTAATCAGGTCCAAATCCGCCCCTGACAACAGCTCTGCAAGACAACGTAGTAACGTCAGAGAACCTGAATGGAATCTGATATTGTTAAACTCTACCAGCATCTTAAATCTTAAAGGACACACACTGTTAAATGAAAACAGTAACTCTTATTAGCATTCCTTTGGCGACAGCTCGTGTCCATTTAAATTATCCAATGTTTTGGCGGACTATTAACCTGGGAAGAATAGTGGAAGGGAACAAACTACAAATTTTGGTTGCACTGAGGCTATTTTGACTCCATTCAGTCCAACTGTCTCAAAAGGTTTCATCCAAGGTGAGATCTTCTGGATATAATGAAGGAAAGCAAATCTACCTGTTACCCTGTAATCCCTCTTATATCTCTGTTTTACTCTGTTCTTCAGGACTTGGAGAGTTGTTTGAAAAACCTCTGCAGCTCGAGAAATCTCCTGGGTCTCAGGCTCAGTTTGCCGATGGAATGTGAACGCATGCATGGAGGATGAGGATGTGCTCCGTCTGTGCAGAAATTGACAGATGAAAGGAAAGTCTCTGTTCTGTCTGTCCTCTTTTGGACAGGTATTATTCTAGTTCAAATGAAGGCAGAGAATCAGATAATTTATTAGTCATTAGTTTATTACCGTTTTCTGGAGTGCTGTAGGGCTTCGTCTAAAATTTTAAGGCTTTCTTCATGTGATGAGATAATCAAGTCTCTGATGGTTGACGCTGAAACATAAACAGTATAACAGCTGAGGAACAAACTCACACGAAGGTTTACATTCACTTATGGAATAGAATAGAAATGCTTCATTAATCCCTGAGGGGAAATTTGGTTGTTACAGCCATAGATATGTATAATAAAGGCTAGATGTCTTAAGGCGGCGTTTCGAACGGGATCACCGGCGGCCATCTTGATTTGGGGCAGCTCTCTGGTGGAACCTGTGGTACGTGAAGGAAGGTGAGTGATCTGCACAAATAGTCTTATCTCGCTGAAATCTTGATGGATTTACAAACGATTTGGTTTCTTACAAACGTTGTTAACATGGCTACAATTCAAATTACAAAAATACAAATAAAATACAAAATAATTAAAATACTAATTGTGTAACATAAGTATCCAGAAGTGCAGCGTTATAACTGCACCTCTGACGTTTATAACAAACCAAACCGTTTGAAAATCGGTAGAGAATTGAGCAAGTCATGGTTATTTAAAAAGCATGTGCACCACTATAACACAATGTTATGGGTGAGCGAGCAGACAGTGCCAAGATGGCCGCCAGTGTGGCCGTGCAATTCCATTGGCCGGCAACGCAGACGAGACATCCAGCCTTTATTATATATATCTATGGTTACAGCACAAACATAAAGCTACCACCACCATAAACACAGATAAATAAACAAAATTAAACAACAAGAAATATAAAATGCAACATGTACAATAAGTGTAACATGTCAAGTAGAAACAGTCCTGTGTGGAGTGGAGTGCAAATAGTGATGCGCAGCAAAACAAGAGTTCAACACAAGTGTGCAAAAGGCAAATTCACTGACTTACATACAGAACTTATGTGCAACTATGTTGTTCTCTTAGAAATCAGAATTTGATGTACGACATTTGATGCTACATTCTATGTCTATATTTCAGAAGGTAATGTTACGCTTCTTCTAAAATAAACCACATGAGTAAATGATCAACTACTTAGGTGTTTTTTAAATAAATCCACCTTTGTTCATCTCTTATAGCTGTGCCTCCAGCAGAACGTTGCTCACTAAGCAGCACCGTGATAGCAGGAAACACGGGATTAGATGAAGGTTTCAGAAGTCAGATTTTTTTGCTGGGAGAAAAGAGGAGCTTACTCGATGTCAAATCATGGCTAGACTGAATGTTTGTACGAGGTCAGATCATTGGTCTATAAACATGTAGTAGAAACTATATCAGTTGTATCCAAAGCAGGACGAGGCTGATGAACATCGAGCACCTCATCAGGAGATCAACACGTCAAGCTTTGTTCAGCGACAGACAGAACAGTATTGTCATCACACACACACAGACTTTGCTAAATAAAGAACACAAGACACGAATCAGCAAAAGTCCAGCAAAAAGAAAGCAGTCTGGTGGGTTCTCAGAGGACGAGGAGCCTCTTCTCAAGAGGACCAACGCTTAGTGGTGGCTAACACATACAGTCGTGCTCAAATGTATTCATACCCTTCTATTAAAGAAAAGGCAAAATTCTCAATACTCACTTAAATAACTAGAAACTGAAAAAAGTAATAATAAATAAAATTTTGCTAAATTAAAATTTAGTGAAATAAGACATTGCTTTAGAATTGTGGTTGAAAAGAATAATTTAAAAAAAAAAAAACCTGTCCCAGACAAATTAGAGCACTTTGCTGATGAGCAGTGGACCAAAATCCAAACACCTGTCAACAGGTGCAGAAGTCTGATAGAGAGTTACAGAAAACACTTGATTACAGTGATTGGCTCAAAGGGTTGTTCAACATGCTTGCTTGTTTTTTTTGGATTTTGAAAATATATATATTTTAAAAAAGAGAAATATATATTTCTGTTGAACCACAATTTAAAAGCAATGTCATGATTTTAATAAAATTTTTATTCACTATTACTTTTGTCAATTTCAGCTCATTTCAGTAACAGCTGATTTTTTTCCTTCTTTAATGGGAGAATATGAATACATTCGAGGACGACTGTAGCAGTGGATGATGAACAAAGTCATGTGAAACAGAACCATGAATGTAAGGAGACCAACAGGAGAGAGAACAACACCACAATATGTGAAACATGCTGCTGTGAATATTCAAGTCTGGGGGGCTTTTGCTGCTCTTGGACGCCTCGACTCCACCCTGACCAAGAACAAGCAGCACACTATTCCTCAGGGACAGGATCCAGTCTCTGGTTTATGTTATTGTAGAGAAGGATTCGTACTGCAGCCGGATAATAAACCCAAACACAAGACAAAGCAGACCCAGCTGTCCTGACTGTCTCTGACTTCCCTCCACAGTCACCTGAACTCAACTCCGCTGAACATTCATGAGACACTTGACTGACAAAGACAAACACTCCTGACTTCACAGGAAGCTCTTTGAAACATGGTTCCATCAAACAGGATTAACATGAATTATCAGGTTTGAAGTCCTCGAGTGCCGGCGTCAGTTAAGCAAAACAGAGACGAGCAGATATGAAAATATAATAACAAGAATGAACAACTATTGTTAAGCTGATGTTATCATTTGCAGTGAGACATTTTGTATTTAATTCAAAGCAAGTGCTAAATAGAGGTATCTGACTTGTGCTGCCAGATTTTTAAACCATTAAAGAACACGACACTGTACTGCTACAATGTGAATGATCTCATCTCCTCCCTCTGAGGACAACAATAAACCACATTTCTGTCACATTATATGATGGTTATGCATACAAAGCAAACCCGGTTCCAATCAATCCTTTCAATCCATTTATTTAATTATTATCTGATCAAACATTTTTAAACGAGGATTTCAGCAAAAAGCATTTCTAAATAATAAAGAAAAAAAAGTACTTACAGTTGAAACTCGGGACTTCATCAGTCGAGGAACTTGTCAGAACAATGCCGCCCAACATTACAAGGAAAACTGAACTGAAATAACAAGCCATCTTTTAATGGGCAGTTTACAGTAGAAGAGTCACACTAACAATCAAAGACGAATCTTAGCGCTGCGCACACTGTGGAACCCGTTCTTATATATTGAGATAAAGCAGGGAGCTCAATGCCAAGGTTAAATAAACCAGCTCACACTGGAGTCACTCAGACACTCAGTGTTTCTCTTGTTATCGCTTGACTGGTTTCACTTTTTTTTTTTTTTTTTCTTTTCTTTTCTTTCTTTCTTCCATTATTCCAGCCACTTGGATATCTGGCAGGTCCTACACCTCTGTGTCCCAAACACACAGAAAACCTGACAGGGTACACAGTTTCTCTTGTATATTGAGACTGATATGGTCGTCTATTACGTGTGAAATGAAAAGAAAGGAAACCCCTCCACTCAGAAAAGTGATTTGATCAACAAGGAGATCACAGTGGAGCTTTTTGAGGGGAAAAAAAAGCTTGATTTTTGGTACATTTTTCTAAATAATGTTTATTAAAATGTAAATGAGATCATATTTTACTGGAATTGCAATTAGGAGTTGGATTCTAAAACCTGCAAAAATGTATGTAACCTTTGAACTATACTGTTTAATGTAAGTATGTCTTTCTTTAATTAATTAAGTCTTTATTTCCATCAACATAATTATATCATGGAAGCCATTTGCAGCAAAAACTGTACTTAGAAACAAATGAACAGGGCGTAATTACTGCACGTGTTAAATACTAAGAAATACTAATACGACTATCTACAAAACTACAATTTATTTGCCATGAAAGCCTGCATTTGTATTACAACTAAGTAGAAAAATCACTGAGTTGTGATTATTTCTTGTGAACAGACGATACACATCTTTGCATCCCACATGGCAGCAACATTAAAGCAACAAGCAGCAGCAGCCAATGAGGTGTCAGCATGTAGACCAAGTTTCTGAGGCTGAAATCCATGATCCATTGCCAGCACTAGTGTCCTTTCTCACCTTGTATTCGTACCTTTGATTCTTGTCCCACAAGCGTCTGCGGGCCGTTTCTTATTTGTGGAGCAGTTTATCCTCCAGCAGAGGAAGGTTAAAGCTGCTCTGTGCAGTTCATCCCCGTCCTGCTGTTGGTTGTACATTGTTATGCTGATGAACAGCAGGGATAAGTCACCGAAGGAGATCGCCAAGCAAACACAGAGGATGAGATAGACGTACTATTTTAATAAGTGTAGACGAATGTGAGCACAACTTTCGCTTGTTTACCAGAAAACTCCACGGAGCACCTTTAAATGAAAGGAGATGGTGAAGTACAGCCAACAATGGTGGCATTTTGGCCTCTTACTGGCACCGACCCAGTCTCTTTCCCAGTGTGCCAAATACTTTTTCAAAGCCGCTTACATCTCAAAAATGTGTAGGTTTTTTATTTATTTATTGCGTTGGTGCTACCCACATATTACTGGATGCTAATAGATGGACAGGAGTTCTCTCATATCATAAGAGACCCAGGAGACTAAAGTTTATGCCCCATATCAGACCATTAGCTTTTCATTTAGTTTACTTGTTTGGTTACACACCAACAATATTTGGTTAGGTTTGGGTTGTAATCACGCTTTTACAACATTAAGCTACAAGGAAAACGTGTTGTTACCTGAAAAAGAGAGACAGAAACAACAGCAGAAGAGGAGATTTGGCGACAGGTTTCTCTTTTTGATGCTAACACATTTTTATAGTACATTGAAAAGTTATGCTGAAGGGTCCTCAGTGCGTTCAAATGTGACACCAAGGGCTCCTGACGGTATGTGACCAGGCTGGTAGCACAGATTTACTTTGATTCAGTTTGCTGTAAGGTTGACCTGATTTGAACACTGCTCTGAGCTCATTTCT